TTTGTCTTTACATACTTTTCCAAGCTTTCTTTCAGTAACTCCTCCATTACATCTCTACCAAATGACAAATGTCCCCTTGTGGTTCTACCCTACTGGTCACTGACCACAGCCAAAGGATTCACACGTGTTCCATTTCTGCAGAGTTCTGCCCACCCCATTTGACAAGAATGAATATCTAGTAGAGTGTTGGTTGGCCAATTCTGCAATTCTCTCTGTGGAGTAGCAAACGTTTTTAGCCAGTTTAGTGAGCCCTAAAGAACAATGATTCATATCGACAATTTAGACAATAGTTCCAGAAGACTTTGACCACCTGCTCCCGGGAGGCCCTGTCCTTCAGAAATGCTAGGCCCTCTACCTTGATCACAGTGCCTTCTGGAAGAAAAGCAGCACAGAAAAACTTAGAAGCATACCTTAGAAGCTGTGGCCAGTAGCATCAAAGAGAGACTTTGTCATTGCATCAGAAATCAACATAAGTATTTCTAAATAGTGCCTTCAGTGATAATGTGGTTACTTGGGATGCTCAGGGTAAGCATGGGTTCTGTGTTGCTGTAAAGACACAGGGAACGTCTGCCTCTACTTCTCTCTCAGGTACTTCCTCCCCTTCCTAATGCACTCTACCACAGAGATCACACTGAGATTCACTGGCATTTTCAAAGCCCTAGAAGATAATTAACAATATCCATGTGAGCAGAAACTGCCAGCTGTTCCCCAATATTAATTCTCCTCTTCTAAATGGTAGAAGAAAATTAAATAAGGCCACAACCACCCAGCTAGAACCTAAGTGCCCCAGCCTGCCTTATAACCACTTCTGGACAATGAGATGCTAATGACATTCGTGAGTTCCAGGTTGTGTTCACAAGATAAATATGGCTAACAGGAAGGAGAAAAGGAGAAGTTAGCTCTACCAGCTAAACTTGGGGTTTCCCTATGACTAGCCCAGATGGCCGTTCCAACACTCTCCTGGACTCTGTTCAAAGTGAGCCTCAAATTAGACAAGTTTAGATTCTGAGCATTTGAGAATGATACCCCTGCACATGTGGGCACAAGCACACCGTAATTGCTTCCATAGAGACAAGCATGTAAATCAGAGGCCATGACCATGAAAGGATAGGTGGGTAAGACTGAGCTTATTTTGAGGTAAGGGAATGGAGGCTATTAGAAAAGAGAGGCAAAGTGCATACGATAGAAGAGCTCACAAAGGCAATGTCACTGGAGTCACATGACGACCAAAGCTTTGTTATCGCTTGGTAACTGTGGATGATTGTAGATAATGATATCAAGAGTTATTTATAGACAACTTTTCTCAACCCCAAACAAGAGATGGCCTCTCAAGCCTACTTGAAAGGAATTATCAAGCTAAATTTTGGACTAAAAGAACATTATTAGCTAAAGTGACACAGCACTTAATGATGCGTCAAGTAAATCATAGGAAGTCCTCAAGATATAAAGGTTAAAATTAATGTGTTCTAAGTGTTGTATAGAATTAATTCACTTACTGCAGCAACCCTATAAGATCAGTGTCAATATTGTCCCCATTGCTGAGATGAGGAAACAGAACCAGAGAGGTTACAGTCACAGTAAATGGCAGAGAGGGGACAGTAATCCAGGCGGTCTGGCTCTAGTCCCTGATCCTAACTACTCTGCCACTGCCTTTCCAAGAAACACAGCAAAAGATGGATTTAATTTGGCGACCTGATTATGAACACCTTTGAACATTTTTCCTTCAACAATTTGGAACTCGTAAGTAAAGATGAAACTCACAAATAATGAAAATTAAGTAGGAAAGCCCCAGGAGAGCAAGATAAGCAGCATTTGACTTCAACACTACAACAGAGGAAATTTTGATAGTGGGACAGAGGAAGCAACAATTAAAGACTCAGGGTTAGGAAAGCCTATTCAAGGCTCTTATCAGCACACAGGTTAATCTTTTCATGCCTTAATCCAGGAAGTCCTTTAGCTGCAGACTATTTTCCTAGACATTTACGTAAAAGATAATCATATTTTGTGGCAGGCATTTTGGTAATAACAATACACAAGCATTTGGCAGAAGAATGAGTTCTACCTCCAGCACACCGGGTACACATTTCAATAGGAACAAATAGCTAGAGCCATGACATTAAGCCTGAAAAAGACACTGTGTTATCAAAAAGGAACTTCAAAAAATGATAGGTGCGGAGCACTTTCTGCCCTGCTTTTGCTCTGACCCAAGGATATGGCCAGTTCCCAGTGAAGGGACAATCTGAGTGGGATGTGGGGTATGGATCCACGGACCATACTCAACTATCATAGTGAAGGAGAAAGAGGACATAGACAAGTGCCAAATGGAGACTCAGACCTAACTAATGTGTTCTTGATGGAGCCAAACCATAAGTGGCCTCTGGTACTAGATCAGATTAGGATTTATTTTTTTTTTTTTATCACAATAAGCAGCGGTCAGTCAAAGATTTCCTACTGTCTTCATTTCAGGCCACATATAGTGCCCAGTGGTACCCAGACATTAACTGCAGGACTCCGGCCTGCTTGGAGACGGAATCCTTGGTTGATCCTCAACTGAACAAGTGGTCCAAAGCCTCGCAGCTGCGAGCTGTTCCCTGGTGATGCATCTCCACTTGCGGCCTCGTTCTTCCCAGTATAATCTGCCCATCTGTGCGTGAAAGGAAGGTGCGGACACCTTTATTCCTTTCATCAAGACAGAGATCGAAATCATAGCCAGATACCAAGGGGCAGAGTTCCCTCTAATTTTTTTTTTTTTGAGAAACACAAAAAGCAAGCAAGCATAATTTTATTATAAAGAAGGACCTTAAACAAGAAGTTTATAGGAATATAACATTTTTTTCCAACCTTATGGTAGATGCAGCCTCATTCCTGAGAAGAGGCACACAGATCTCATATTGCTTTTAAGTGGAGGGAAAGAAATCCATAAAAATTAAAGAAAAATTAAATTAAAAATTAAAAAATATTTAGGCATTTTGAAACCGTGCCAGTGTAAAGAACTCAGTAATTTAGTAAATCACAGAAAATCCCCAAGATAAATAGGTTAAAATTAATGTGGTTTTAAGGAATGGAGCCATCAGCTCTGTCTGGGAGAACAATTCTCACTAAACATTTATCTCAACCTATATCTTAAATTTAATGCAAGTAATGCTTCAATCTATCAACTGCTTTACAGTAAACCTGGTTGGCACTTTGAGGCTTTCCATTTCATTTTCCAAATAATTTGATTCTCTATAGTTGGGGTCAAATATATTGTGCAGTGTATTTTATTTATTCACTTTTTTTTTTAAGCTTTAAAAGCTCAACTATTTAAAACGATAACATTAACACTTATTTCCCACTTAACTGAATTTTGTGGGGGGTGCTTGGTGAAAATAATATCAGCAAAACACCATTAACATTTACCAGCTTTTATTATGTGCACTTATTATACCAGGCACTTCACCCATATTATTGCATTTATAGTCTTCACAATAGGCCCATATTTTAGGTATAATTATTATCTCTATCTTACAAGTTAGGAGACTAAGGCTAAGAGAGGATAAGAAACTTCACCAAGGTCACACAGTAAGTGGCAGAGCCAGTAAACAAACCCAGTCTTAACCTCCCTGGCCCCAGTCTAGCTTTGTAAACACATTGGGAGGGGAATAGAAATTGTACCCCACTCCCAGTGTGATACAGCACTGAACATTCTTTTTTTAAAGATTTTATTTATTCATTTGACAGAGAGAGAACACAAGCAGAGGAAGGGGCAGAGGGACAGGGAGAAGCAGACTTCCTGCTGAGCAGGGAGCCCGATGCAGGACTCAATCCCAGGACCCTGGGATCATGACCTGAGCCGAAGGCAGACACTTAACCGACTGAGCCACCCAGGCGCCCCAGCACTGAACATTATTTTCCTCAATTTCACAGAGGATAGTTTATGTGCTCTTCAAATTGGTATGAATTCTATTTAATATATGACTCCAGTTATAGCTGTGTGATTTTAGGCATCTGATGGAAAATTAAAAACCCAGCCAGCCATCTAAGAACCTCATCAATGTAAATTACTCGCACACATAACAATGCTTAGGTGCCTGGGAATTTTTATTCTGCACCTGGTCGTGTGTCATCCTAACATCCACGGAGACAAATTCCAAACCAAGCAGTTCCAGAATTTAAGATGACATTCTACAGGATTTCAGTCACCATATTTTCCAGCTTAAAACCACAGCACACAAACTGATAAGAGTATGTGTGTTTGTGGGAATAACCAGGCAGAAGATTTGAAATCAGACCTGAGAAAATCAGAAACTTCTGCTAGCTGTTTACAGTCTTTCAATATATGGGCCCCTGTGTCCATGTAAGGGAGAAAATGAACTCACTAGAAGGAAGAAATTGCTTTTTTGCCCTCATAAAATCTTTGCAGAGGTGGCCACACATCATCTATGCAGACCTCAAGCTGTTTTCTATGCCACATGACACCCAGGTAAGAACCGTTCTCTTTGAGCCTAATAGAAACGATGACAGAATGCTCTGATCCTCGATTTCTGAGCATTTTCTCATTCGGTGTTCTCCAGGCACACACCCCACTGAGGCAAATAGGGCAACTCTATTTAGTGACATTACTCAAGAGTAACCACAGAGTCAGGTACAAGCCCGGTTATCCAACACCCATCCAGCTGAACACTACAGCACTCTGTTTGCCTCCGTCTCGAAAAGCCAAGCTATTCAATCATCAGGATGGCATCCAGAGCATTTTTGCTAGAAGTAGTGATAAATTTGTACCTTATTTATAACATCTGCCCAATTCTCTTTCCTCACCATCGGAACATGTTTTTTAAGAAAATCAGCCAAGCTATGACTTGAAAACCATGCTCTTGTTTGGTTGATGTTCTAGAACGTGCTCAGTGAGCAAATCTCACTACATGTTTCATCCACCATTATCCACTTGACATTGCAAGCGAGGCAGTCCCTCCACCACCCCCTGGGGAAAAAACAAGAGATTATCTACATAGGTGCCTTACCGTTGATACTCCAGATGCCCAGATGTGGGATCAGGAAGAACACCCCACACAATTTCCCAATTCCAAGCATGCCAGGCAACGTCTTCATTTCCTGTGCATATCAGGGACAGAAAAACTTCACAGGTAGACTTCTCTTCCTCCCTTCAATTCTTCAGGATTGGACCAGGTTACCTACCTCAGTGACATCAGTGAAATAAGTAAAGAAGAGCAAGGAGGTGGCAGAAGACAGTAGGAAGAGCCTGAATCGTGTGTGAAACGAAGTGAACAGAAAGACGATGTGGTACTATATTCTGTGGTTTTTGCTGCTCGTCAAATCCGCTGTTCACTTTCAAACACTGATCTGCAGAGCGGCTCCGTCCTTAACTTCTCCTTCCGCTTTACCACCCTTTCTGCCCCACATTGAGGTTTTTCTCATTCAAAGTTGAGTGACATGAAAAATCAAACTCTAAAGAAATCTATATTGTTGCAATCTTTAGGTTGAGATTTTAATCAAATTAAGGTCAGGGAATTCATGGTAAAAAGTACCTATGGTAAGTATGCCTTTTCCCCCTTTTCATAGCTTGAGATTATGAAACTTCTTTTATGTAAAAGGTTTTAGATTTTTCTTCCTAAACATCATGTCATGGCAAGATTAGAATGCTTATTGTGATTATACCAGTGATTTATCTGAGGTTATGGAGAATATGAGTGACAGGAAGCACTTCCTCAACAGATGAGGGAAGGGCAGGTGTCTTTAATCTGTAGATAAATATCAATGGAACAAGATCATCGTTAATATTAGCTACATGTTCTCTCTCTAAATAATAAAGTTCCGAGCTAAATGACATCTTGAATATCAGTTAAAGGAAACTTTCATTTTGAACATTTTTCATGTGGGTATTGTCTGGATGAAATAGAAGAGAAGCAATAAAAGGAAGAAATGGAAAAGTTCAAGATCAGATAGCTCAGGGTCAAGGTGGACTGTTTTCTCCAAGGCCACTTGTAATAATTAGCTGTGCTTCTAATTTTATATATTTATATATATATATGTATGTATATATTTAAGATTTTATTTTTTTATTTGAGAGTGAGAGAGAGAGAGCATGAGTCAGGTGAGGGGCAGAGGGAGAAGCAGACTCCCCACCAAGCAGGGAGCTGGACCTGGGGTTCAATTCTGGGACTCCAGGATCATGACCTGAGCCGAAGGCAGACGCTTAACCAACTGAGCCACCCAGGCACCCCTGTGCTTCTAATTATGGGAGCTAATTAAATTCACCCATTTGAGATTCCAAAGGGGAAATCTAGATTTGTGATATCTGTGGTCATTAACAGAAGCTGATTTTGTAAGTCTTTCTCCTGGAGGCTGATGATTTTCTTCCAAGGCCGAACTTCAATGGTTCTAAGTACATAAGTTTAAAAAAACAGTTATCGGGCGCCTGGGTGGCTCAGATGGTTAAGCGTCTGCCTTCGGCTCAGGTCATGATCCCAGGGTCCTGGGATCGAGTCCCGCATCGGGCTCCCTGCTCCTTGGGAGCCTGCTTCTCCCTCTGCCTCTCTCTCTCTCTCTCTTTCTCTCTCTCTGTCTCTCATGAATAAATAAATAAAATCTTTAAAAAAAAACAGTTATCATTGTATTTATTGATTCAAACAGATACTGTGTGATCGTTGGAGGCCCCCAGATGAATGATTTTAAAGAGCTCAGTGAACCAGTACTATAATTTCCTCTTGTCTGTCTTTAGTGTTGGAACTGAAATATTCATGTATTTCAACCACCGCAGTTTAACACAGAGCAACTGTACCTTAGGACATCCATTACTTACCGAGGAAACATCCTGTGAAATATTTACCCAGCATTTACACAACTTTCTTTCCCATGCTCAAGGTGGAATGCAAACTTCCTGTGGCAGCTGAGGCAAGGCTCATGATCCATTTAAAATGGTCCCAGAAGTCAAAAGTCATATAGCCAAGGATCCCAAGATATTGTCCCAAACCAGAGACAAGTCATATACACTTTGTTTATCTCAGCATAAAACCTTTTTGATCTACTATTTTAAGGATTTTTTTCATATTAAAAAAGCCCATGCTAATGAGACAAAATTTGGAAAAAAAAACCAAAAACCTTATGTAACATCTAGTGTATTTTTAAAGATATCTATTTTGTTACTTTTATCACCATGACTGGCTCTTTATTCCTCCACAGCTGGAGTCCTGAGAGTCCCGCTGAAGACAGAACTCTCCCTCAGAATCTGACCCCTGTCTTCCTTCTAATAATAAAAAAAAAAAAAAAATGAAAGAATCCTGGCTCCAAAGTTTGTTAGCTCAGTTACAAGTCAATTTTGCTTTAAATTTCTACTTCATCTAGCAATTACATTTCTATTCTGACCCTTGTCCCATTATAATTAAGTACTGTTTGATTAAAAAATTGTACTTTTTATTTAAATGTGCAAATTTAAAGAATTTACTACATTTTTGAAGAATTTACTACATTTAAAAAAGTGATTGCATTGTGTTTTAGGATCAGTTTTAAAAGCATCAATCTATCTCCAATTTTACTGTGAAAGACAAAAAGCAAAGTAGAGTTGGGCTTCTTAAAATTCATTTCCAAACATTTTAGGAGCTACATACAGAGCAAATTCTTCAGTTCACTTACAGATTCAGTTGCTTTCATGAATCATGAAGCAGCTGTACTTTCTCCAATGTTTTTACATCAGGAGGGTCAGAGAAACAGCAAACACAAAACAGATGCAGGACCCTAGAGAGAGCTTACCACTGACATTAGACAACATCAGCCCAGAGGGATGAATCTTGGTTTTAAAAATTTTAGCACCCCCAAAAACATTGCATAGCTTCTGCCACATATATAGTCCAGCATTTAAAACTTTTTCCATTCTTCTGCTTGGTGTCGTCTCCTCATCAATATTCTTGATAGCAATGGTTTCCAAATATGCGTGTACTTGAGAATCAGTCTGGGCACTTTTTATACACTGGGTGGGATTCCCAGATCCCATCTATGTCCACTGAATGAGAATCTCACAGGATTGAGGCCACATATCCCTATTTTAAAGAAATCCCCCAAAGTGATTCTGGTAGCTGATTTGAATGGATATTTGGAAACCAAGAATGAATTGGTGGGAGACACGGATTTTGAGTCACAAAAGACTTGGTACCAAATCTTTGCTACTTATTAGCTGTAGAACCTTTAATAAATTCCTGGATTCTTAGAGTTTATTCTAGACACAGAGATGTACAACTTGGGTGCCCTTTCAAGGACAGATTTGCTCTTGGCTGTGGGGAATGCAGTTGGCAGACAGCTTCCAGGTATAAACTTTGTTAGTGACTGCCAAGTTGAGACTCACCTTGTCCAAGGTCATGCTTTTCCACGACAGCCTGCATCCAGTGATGGAGAAAGGAAAATGTAAAAATGGCTGGCCATTTGGGGCTCCCATGGGATGCTGATGGGCAATACTCGACCCAGAGCTCCAGGTTGTCAGCCAAGGTTATGTCAGGCCTATATCACAGTTTGACTTCTTCCTCTGCCCAGTCGTGCTTCTGCCCCCTTACTTTCAAAGGTGCTGATCACTAATCTATCTCAATGTCTGCTTCCAGAGAACTAAATCTATTCCACATCTCAATTTCCTGTTCTCTAGAACACATATGGTAATAACATCCATCTGTTATGTTGGTGAACTGAGATAATGTATGCAAAGTGATCAGTAAATTACATCTATAATTATTCCTAAACCAAAGATGGGCTTTAATTTGGACAAGATGGATACCAGGAAGCCCTATGTTCATAAGCCAAGAAGTAATGATGGCGGAACAATTTGAATATGTTTATTTGCTAACGGGAGTCATTGTTGCATGGAGATTGAGACTCTGAATGTGTGGTAACAAAGCTTTGATTAGCAAAGAAATGTAGCAGATTAAAGATGGTCTTAATTCCCCCTAAATTCACAAGGATGGATCAGCCATGCAGGGAGGCCTCAGAAGTAAAGGGCAGAAAGATTTAGAAGTTTTAGAAGGGCAGAAGATGTAAAGAAGAGCAGGAGATATAAGGAAGGGCCCACATTGGGAAAGCGCTCTAAACATCCAAAAGACTGGAAGGGGTCAAAAGAGTGGTGCTGTCACAGTAGGACTAGAAGGCTGGACAGGTAACCAAGGCAGGGACCATTCCCTGAAACTGGAATACAGAAAAGGATCAGTCATTGGCCCCACACCCCGAGACAGGCAAAGAGACCAACTTGGTATTGAACCTTTCCCCTTTACTCCTTGAAGTGTCCCTTTGGTGAGAGGATTGTCCTGCACTGTGAGGTGGATAGGGTTCACCCAAAACACAATATAAAATACCCTCAGCTGCAAAACTTAGCAGACGGAAGATGATTTGGGGGAAAATAAATAAAAATGTATGTACAGAGAATGCCCAAGAATGACCTTCTCCCCTTTACTTTCGTATTGACAGACTTGGAATGTATTCTGGATCTCTCATTTACTAGATGCGTGATCTTAGACAAGTTATTCAACTTTGAATCTAATATTTCCTTGAAACCTGTTAGTCTGTAAAGCAGGAATAATAACAGCTACGTGAAAGGTTGTTATGAGTATTCAATAAGGGACTTAAATAGTACTATATATTTGAAGTTAGCATACATGAAACCACATACCACAGTGCCTGGCACAAAACTAAGATCCTGACAGATGCATTTTCCTTTCTTTCCTCCCACTCAGACAGAAAACTATATTGTTCCTATGTCTGGTTTATTGGTATCTTTGCAGCCTGGACAGAGAGAGAAAGTTGACTTCCCTTATATCCTATGCACCTGTGTGTACTATATTTGTATGTGCTTATAGTACTTATTTGTACTATATTTTTGTGCTATTGTGTATGTTTATCTCATTGCTTCCTCATGAAACCAACTTGGGGATCCATCATAGCTTTGCAAATTGTTTTATCTTTTATTTTTGTGGATGTGTGTATGCTTTGATGTGCCTGCAGCTTCAGATCTCAGCCAAATATTAGAGTCTGAAGCCATTAACTTGTTCTTCCAGGAGGAATTGGGGGGGTGCTACCTGGAAAAGAAGGGTGGCATACCTTGTAGATTTCCAACTACA